GGAGTACTAGGTGAGCCTTTTACTCGCTTTAGCATATCGCATACGTGTGATTGTTGCCATGTTTAGCATGCTTAACATGAGGTTAAGTGCTTAGTTGATAAACTGCTTAAATGCCTGTGGATGAAGGCTAGTTGCTTGAATTGGAATAATTTGAGCAACGTTCATATGCAATCACTTTTTCAAGTGGTACATATTTCTAAACAATTTTCAAAACGAATATGACTCAAGTGTTCCAATTCTTGCGAGGTAGTCTATACTTGTTTGGTGCGCATCACATAGTAATGCTAGCCTAATAATCGGAACAAGAGCATATGATGTACATAAGATTTATATCATGATTAGTAGAGGTCGATCTTTGATCGGGCGAGCGGGGGTGCTCAATTCATGACCTTCCCCTCTCATACCTAGGTTTCCAAGCCAAGACAATCTTGGTGATGACGGACACGTGGCCTTTGGCACGAGTCATGGTATAGCTCAATTTTTTCGTTCCCCCTTTCGAAAGTTCGAAATAAGCCCTACAGTTCGGACTCCCACGGTTCTGAATCTAATCTCACAAGTGCAACGCGAAATTGATAAACACCAAAGAGTCTAAACCTGGCAAATCTTTTGGAAAAATGATTTTGAATCAAAAATTCCAAAATTAGACTGCTTTGCCAGATATGGAATCGCTACCTAAATATTTTGTTTTAGGGAAATTTAGGAAACCCATGATTCATGCCAAAGGCCACGTGTCCGTCATCACCAAGATTGTCTCAGCTCGGGAACTTAGGTACGAGAAGGGAAGGCCATAAATGCATTTAAGCACCCCCGCCCGCCCGATCGAAGATCAGCCTCTATTAATCATGATATGAATCTTATCAACATTATATGCTCTTGTTCTGGTTTATTAGGCTAGCATTTACTATGTGATGCGCGCATACAAGATATAGACTAGCTTTGCAAGAATTGGAACATTTCGAGTTATGTTGGGTTTTGAAATATGTACCACTTGAAAAAAGTGACACATATGAATATTACTCAAATCTTTCCAATTCAAGCAACAAGCCTTCATCCATAGGCATTCAAGTAGTTATAACACTTAAGCAATTAGCCTCATGGCAAGCACGTTAAACATGGAAACACTCACACTCATGCAATGTGCTAAAGTACTAAAAACTCACCTAGTACTCCAAGTCAAAATAAACAAAAGAGTTAGAAAAAATGCATGATTCCTAACTACGTAATATGACTAATGCAACGCATACAAAAATGCAACTAAACTAGGCTCGGCTACTTAACATGTTATTTGCAACAATTTTTTAGCATGCGTTTAAACACGTATTCAATGAGGTATTGAAACGACAATGCAGTTAGAATGATGAATCGAGCATTGGTGCATGCAAGACAAGTGAATGGATACAAACATGCGATATGCTAATTGAAACGTGATGCCCCTAATCTAACCGTCAAAAGCGGATAAATAAAAAAGAGAAAGACGTGAGGTTGGAAGACATACACCTTATTACATCATTTCGCTCTCATGAAGAAGAGTCCAAATGAATAAACTAAGCTAACTAGCTAACTAATTAAAGCTAAAACTAAAGCTAACTATTACAAAACAAATTAAATAACTAGCTAAACTACTTAACTAATTATTACAATAACAAATGAACTAATTAGTTAGCTAACTAATTAAATAATTACGACACAAATGTAATTAAAATAATTAATTAAACTAAGCAACTAACTACTCCGCCTCGGGAAACGAGGGATATGCATGCACATGCTCGGATTCCACCTGAAAAGATCACCATTTTGCTCCCAAATGCCTCTGTTTGCATAGTTGAACATTTCCAGAACAAATTTGCTCCATTTTACCAACACTCTACTGAAATTTGCATCAGTGGCCAGCTGGCCACAAATTGTGATTGCTGGCTACCTGCGGGCTATAAGAAAAATCTACTTCCAGGCCCGACTTCAAATAGGCATATTTCTTTCATCCGGACTCGATTTAGGTCATTCTTGAGTCTAAATTGAAGCCCCAAAAGTCTAATTTCCAATGGAGGTGGGCTCACATCTAAATTTCAAGTGTACAAAAGGATAGGTCTGATTTAGTGTAGGCTGCTTAGTTCTCCCTTACGGTTTTATACCCTACTTCTTCCCTAACTAGTTTTCATCCCTCCGCTCTTATTTTCTTAAAATCCAAACCTCTAAATAAGATATTTAAAAGATTTTTCAAAGAGTTCACCTCTCTTCTATTTATTTCCACTTTGTCCTTGCTTGTTTTACCGAAAAGTGCAATTTTTAAACGAAATATGAGCCTCGGAACATCGTAGAAGCTTTTCAAAAACATTTTGACAGAGAGGATTTTAAGGTCTAAAAAAGTTTTGGTCTGAAATCATTTTGATAAAAATGGGGTGTAAGGTTGGGATTTAGAGCTCTTCTTGATGAAGAAATCAAACATTTGCACAGCACTACTTTCATCATCGAGTGATCAATCAGTGGCGCCTAAGTCTTAAGGGCGGTCCAAAATGGGGTGTCTACACATGGGTTTCCTAAATTTTTCCAAAATATTTAGGTGGTGACTCTGTATCTGGCAAAGCAGTCCAATTTTGGCAATTTGATTCAAAATCAATTTTCCAAAAGATTTGCCGGATTTGGAGTCTTTGGTGATTATCTATTTCACATTGCACTTGTGAGATTAGATTCGGAACTGCAGGAGTTCAAACTGTAGGACTTATTTCGAACTTCTGAAAAGGGGGCGCAAAAAAGTTGAGCTATTGAACAGTACACCTTTGATTTAACACATGGAATTTAGTTTCTAAAATAGAGAATTTGATATGTTAATTTGGTTATTTGTATCTTTCTTAAGAAGGATAGAACAAATCATATGAATTATACGTTAATTGAAAAATGGAAATGGAGACGAATTACAGCTATGATTGATTGTTACTTGCGAATGTTTGTCAATTAAAGAGTGGTTAAAGAAGTAGTTACTGCTTTTCCATACATTGTACAATAATTTTCGTGTGACCTTAACCCCTTTGTATTCAAATTTTGTGTTACAAAAAAAAGTTAATTTATGGAATAGTCGAATAGAAAAATAATTGAAAATAATCAAAGTTACTTTATTTGTGTTTTAAAGCAAAATAATCAAATTTCACATATGGAGAAATTTATAATTGAAAACTTACATTTTCCCTATTGTGAAACCCCATTTTTAAATAACAAATGGGGACATTCTTCATTTTGTAACAATCTGACAATTTCCTGAACTGTGAATAATGTGCCACCTACATGTTATCATTAGTCTTTCACCCGGTCAGCAAACATAGCATGGCTTCGTTTATCTCTACTGCAACTTCCAATACATGGCCACGTTGAATATGTGCCTGTGGCTATGGCCACTGTATTGTTAAGATATCCAAGTTGACCAAAAATCCAGGGCGTCCCTACTTTGCATGTCCCCACCCTGTTGTGAGTGCCCAATTCATTAATGGTCATAGCTGCATTTCATTACGAACCAATTGACTAATAACTTCGTCATTTGTACTCGTCAGCCTTTTGTCAGTTGGATTGGTTGGTGTGAAGAACCTAGGCAACAAAGCACGGACGATGTGTCATCTAGAAACGACATTGTCATTCATTTGCGGGATGATGTCATACAAATTCAACAGTCATTGCATCTCCTTAAAACCATTGTCTATGTGCTATGCATTGTCGTTGTCATTTTGTTGTTGCGTATGTAAGGAATCTTGTAGGAGGTCGTACCGATGTTGCCTATTATGTAAATAAGTTTGCCTTGCGTTTGTAATGCCCCGACCCCTTTACACATCATCAATATTGTCCACTTTGGGCCACGCCCGCATGGATTTGTTCTTTCTAGTGGGTCACCCATCTCAAAACTACTCTAACCTAAGCACACTTAATTAGGGAGTTCTGCTAGGGATTTCACCACTCAGGGAAAAGGCCTCAATGCTATATAAGGGTCTAGGTTTTACTTTTATAACCCAGGAACTCCCTCTCCATTCCTGATGTGGGACACCAGGACCTTACAATCTACCCCTCTTAAGGTTGCACGTCCCCGTGTAATAGCCTGCCAGCTCACAAGCCTGCCTATATGCACCGAGAGACGCTAGGGGCCCACACTCGATACTCTGGAGTGTAGGCTCTAATACCATTTGTAATGCCCTGACCCTTCGCACGTCATCGTTATTGTCTGCTTTAGGCCACGCCCGCACAGATTTGTTCTTCCCAGTGGGTCACCCATCCCAGAACTACTCCAGCCTAAGCACGCTTAACTGGGGAGTTCTGCTAGGGATTTCACCACTCGGGAAAAGGCCTCGATGCTATATTAGGGTCTAGGTTTTTACTTTTATAACCCAGGAACTCTCCCTCCATTCCCGATGTGAGACGTCGGGACCTTACAGCGTTGCATGACAAGTTTGGCATAGACATTAATGACTACTCTTATGTACTGTTTCAATTTCGATGTTTATATTCCTTCTGCATGAATGTTATGTGTTTGTATTGCTATGTTAAGTAATGTGCAATGGTTATATACTGTCCAATATAGCATCTAATTATTGTGTTTACTATGCAATGGCCATACATTGTTCATGTGGCAACCAATTGAAATTATTGTGCTATGGTCTTACATGTTTGTGTATAACAGGCAAACTTGGTGATGATGATTATTTTCACCCGTAAATTAGTTGCCTTTGTTGTGTGGTTACTCCAAATAGCTTCGATACGTACTCCTCCTCGTATCCAATCCAAAAATAAAGGCATTGCTCCAGAGAAGTCAAGCAGTGTGGAAGAGACACACAAGTAGTTAAAGCACAAGGCATCGTGGGACAATGGGTCAATCCAAATTTTCCTGCACCTGATTGCCAATGAGATTACAAAAGGAAAATCAACCATTCCTAGTCCTAAGCCAAGTTGGGTATAAGTCGTCAGCACGAAAATTCGAGAAAAAAATAGGAAGAAAACATGGCCTGAAACAGTTGAAGAATAAATACATGGCCCTGAAAAAAGAATGGAATGCTTGGAGGAAGTTGATGGATTCCAGTAGAGGAGTGTCAGGGATTGGCTTTGACAGTGAAACTGGTATGTTTCAGGCATCAGATGAGTGGTGGGACAAGATGGAATCAGTAAGTGCAATATAATTTCCTTATGTTTGTTTCGTTTCATATTTGCCTGTTAGTAATAAATTTTCTCATTTTTGGTGTTAGTAAAAATTTCACATATTGCATGTAACATTTAATTTTTTTTCAATGTCCAATTTTGCAGACAAACAAGGCGTGTGCCAAGTTCAAGAAAAAAACTTTGGAACATCGCGAGTTAATGGAGACGGTCTTTATAGGGGCATCAGCCACTGGTAAGCACTATTGGACCGCAGGAGAGGAAGTTGCTGAAGTTGTCGACGTCTCATCCGATTCTGTGGACAGTCTCAGAGCCCAGCCATTTGTTGACCCGATATCTGCACGAACAGAGGACGTCGACTCAGATTCTTCAATCGAATTTGTTTAGATTGTTAACGAGAAAAGGAAACGGACTCCGTCAACAAGTTATGGAAAGTCGAAGAAGGCCACAAGTGGAGCGTCAATTATTGCGGAAAGCATGAACAATCTGACAAATGTGGTTTGTACCCAGAATCAGCAGGTTACTGCCAGGCAGCTCACAGGTAACGAATCACTGTACACAATTTCGGAGTGCATGCAACGGCTGAGGAACATTCTGCCCTTCTCGGTACACTGCTATTCCATTTTGCCTTGACATTGATGGATAACACAGATTACCAGGAGGTGATGATGTGCCAGCCTGATGACGACTGCATTATCAGCTGGCTCACACAGAAGCAGCTGCAGTGTAGTGCGGCGGCGCTGTTTGTGAACCTGTTCGGGGCTCACTGGATTTGACTTAACGGTGTCATGTTAAAGATGTGCTCCTATTATCTTGCTTTAAAAAACTTTTACTTGCGTTCATGTTGGACTTGTAATAAACAGGATGGTGTGCGTGCTGTTTTCATATTTTTTTAAAAATATTTTCCCGAGTTTGGCGAAAAAATATTTGCATGTTTGTGTATGTTTTTCGACGATTACATAAGATATTTGTGTGTTTTTTTTGGATGGAACAGGATGGTTGTGTCTTTTTTTATTTATTTATGGGAATTACATGCGCAACAACGGGCTGCCATGTGTTGGTTGTTTATGGATTTATTTATTTGTTTATTGTTATGTTATTTTTTCGTTGCTATGATTGTGTTGGTAATGCAATTAATGTTTTATTGGTTTGTGTATTACCACTTACCACCAGGTTCATTGTTTCTTTATTTGGTACATTTTACATGCAATTGTACCTTACTGTTAAGCGTCATATATTCCATGGTGATGCAACATAAATATTTCCAACGATGTTTGCAATATGCAATTACAAGCTTTTATTACCTTTAACCCACTGCATCACATGTAAACTGATTCAAACTGTCCTATTGTTGTAGGTTTCGCTTGAATCGACATGATGAATCCCGGGGATGGAAGCAATAGTCAGGATTTAAGAAATGCTTAACCAAATGGCCATACAACTGCAACAACAAAACAAGTGGACATTTGTACAAGCATGTCAGTATGTGCAAGAGTGGTACGAAAAACACATGGCCAAAATGCCATGTTGCACTTCAATTTTGACCGAGCATGCATGGATAACCGAACTATATGCGGGCCATGTAGGTCGATTTGAGGAAAATGTGTGCATGCCAAAGGAAGTGTTTGCAGCTTTGTGTCACACATTAGTAACTAATTTTGGGTTACAAGTACCGCAACGTCCACATGGCTTAGCTGTTGAAGAAAGTGTTACAATGTTTATCCACGTGTTGAGATGGTTGCAAAATTGGGAAACCCAAGAACGGTTCCAACATTCGGGGGAGACAGTGTCTCGGCGCATGCTTAATGCATTAACAGTGATAAAGGAGTTCACTGTTGTACATTGCAGCCCCACATATAGTCAGCATCACATACATCCATATGTGCAGTCTAAACGAAAATACCTACCGTTCAAGGTACTATTTTCAAACCTCAACCAGTTAAGTAAGTGATTCTTCTTCTTATTTTTTTTTATTGGACGTGACGTATGAAAAATAGCCATTACATGTACCCTTAGGAGTAACAATACAATTGGGTTGTTGGTAGGACTGTATCAGAGCCATAGACGGAACACATGTTAGTGTACGGGTTACGAGGCCAGATGTCCCAACATATTTCGAACGAAAATACTGTCACACGCAAAATATCATGGCCGCGTGCGATTTTGACATGTGTTTCATCTTTGTTTCGCTTGGATTGGAAGGAAGTATGCACGATAGTCGCATCTTCAATGAGATACTAACAAATGACAATATCACATTTCCACATCCTAAATAAGGTAAAACAGTGCATTGAAAATATTTGGGTCCATAATATTTGGGAAAACATCGTTACTTAAAAATTAAACACAATTTGGTGGTTTGTTTCAAGTACTGTTTGTAGGAAAATATTATCTTGTTGATGCTGGCTATCCGAACCGAGTAGGTTACCTAGCACCTTTCAAAGACAGCCGTTACCACCAACAACAATTTCACGCTAATATCGAGCATAGGACAACAAACACCCACAGGGAACTATTTAACAAAGTTCACTCATCGTTACGCAGTGTGGTGGAACGCACTTTCGGCGCCTGGAAAAATCAATGGAGGTTTATTAGAGGCATGCCTCGGTATGATTTTGCAAATGTGCAAGTTCAGTTAGTAGGTGTATCAATAGCGTTACATAATTATATACGTTGAAATATAGGCAATCCAACAACTACTAACCCCATCGTGAACGAGGAAGAGGTTATGGCACTAGTAAATACCATACCAGAGGTTGAACATGACGAGGATGCTTTAATGGTTGGGGATGAGGACCCGCATATGGCATTGGTGTGACTTCACATACAGGACATGTTAGTGTACCTGCACAATAACGGAATGTTAGGAAATATATAATAGTCCACCTAATATCCGTAGGCTTGTAACATTAGTAACCCACGCGGAAGAGGCTGTATGTAAGTATATTATCATGTACAATATGTATGTGTTTACACGGGAAATAATCCCTTCCAAATTATTGAACACGTTATTTTCCAAATTATTGTGTTCGAAAATTTGTACAATAAAAAATTGCAATTTTTTTTCAACAAACGGTCACAATCGATGACACAAATATTTTTAGATGTTTGGTTTTTTCTTAAAAAAAAAAATAAAACCGACTCATATACTTTTTCACGTCATTTAACAAAACAAAACATAGAAATTCCTTTTCCAAAAACAAAAAACAAATTAAAAAAAAAGCCTTTTCCAAAAACAAAAAAACAAGTTACAAAAAAAAAAAAAAAATTATCATTTGCCACGTCATTTTAAAAAAAATCAAAAAGCCTTTTCCAAATAAAAAAACAGCAAAAAAAAAAAAAAGACATAAAAATAAAATTGAAATTACCATGGATTCCATGTGATTTAAAATGAAAAACATGAAAAGGCCTTTTCCAAATAAAATATAAAAACAAAAAAACAAAAAACCGAAATTATCATTTGCCATGTCATTTAAAAAAAATAACATAAAAAAGTCTTTTCCAAATAATATAACAAATAAAAGCAAGAAAAACAAAAAGAAAGACATAAAAAGAAAACCGAAATTAGCATGAATTCCACGTTATTTAAAATGGAAAACATGAAAAAGCCTTTTCCAAATAAATAAAAAAAACAAAACACAAAAAAAAAATCGAAATTACCATTTTACACGTCATTTAATAAAAAACATAAAAAAGCCTTTTACAAATAATAAAACAAATTAAAAACAACAAAATCAAAAAAAGACAAAAATAAAACCGAAATTAGTATGGATTCCACGTCATTTAAAATGAAAAACATGAAAAAGCCTTTTCAAAAAAAAAATAAAAAAAAAATTAAACAAAACCAAAAAAAAAAAAAAACAAAAAAAAAAAACCGAAATTAGCATTTTCCATGTAATTTATAGATAAAAACACACACACACATAAAAAACCCTTTTCGAAAACCAAAAAAAAAAAAAAATGAATATAAATTTTTTTTAAAAAAAATGACAAACAAATAACACCTAAATGTTAATTTTCCACGTCATTAAAAAAAATCATAAAAAAGGCTTATCCAAAAAAAAACCAAATTAAAAAAAAAATGAAGGCAGACGTGTACTGCTCAGCCACCCACAGTGCCCAACTTTTACCCTAAGGACAGTTGGGTAATTTAACATGTGGACATCTCACCAAAAAGCCAAAAAGTCTATCCCAAACCAGACTTTTTAACCTCAGGCTAAAATAACCAAAAAAACACATAAACTTGTGTGCATATTAGTTTTTATACACAATATTTGTTAAAAATATTAAATATTTTTTTGAAATATGTTAAAAAATATTATCACAAATGTCGCGTTAACAACCATGTCAACACATGGTGTGTATGTGACATTCCACGAAAAATGTAGGAAAATATAGCATTTAGGGGTGAAATCAGGATTTAGATTTTTTTTTTTTGGGGGTGGGAGGGGGGAGAGGGGGCAAAAATTTACATTTTAAAAAAATTATAGACAACAAATTTAATCAAGAGAAATATATGAAAATTATAGATGAAGTTTCTTCATAATAATATTAAAAATAAAAAAAATAAAAGAAACCATTCAACTTTGACAAAATAAGAACAAAAGAAGATTAATTTTACTTTTCAACTCTATCAACCATTAAAAAAAAAATTGATTCAAAATAAACCCTAAAAAATATGAGCAATAAATTCTTTCCAATATTATAGATAATATAGTACTTGCAAGTTGTCAATTCCTCTGATATAAATACATTGTGCAGCAGTTTGTATAACAGTAATGATTCAGAGCATTAATTTTGGTACTCTAATAGAGCATTTATGACATGGTAAGGAGAGAGAAAAAAAAAAACCAAAATCAAAACATTAAATCACAGTGAGTGGGACCCACTGTTAATTCACTAGAATTGAGTTTAGAGCTCAAGAATTAGAGCTTCAAAACATTTTCCTTTATATAATTGTTGAGTCTGAATCGATTTGCTAGATAGTTGAAGAGAGGCGGTGAGTTTTTGTTACTGTTTTAAGGGTTTGGGAGATATCCTTGGTTATAGCATGGCCTTGTGGTGGTTCGATGTGGGATTTTTTTGAATTTTTTTAATAATTTGAATTATTTATTTTGTAAATTTCATTGAATATATTATTTATATAAAAAATTAAATTAATTGAAAATTCATATCCCCATGATTCTATTTTAATTGTTTTTAAAAAAATTATTAAGATCATGTTAATCATTTATTTTTTTAAAAAACAAATACGCTCTTGTTATGGAGTTATAAATATTCAATCAATTTGATTTTTTACATGGATGACGAATCATACTACATGAATTGTTCGAATTATCAAAAAAGATTATGAAAAATCTGCTATCGAGACACCATAGGGACCTATT